TTTATTATATTTGAACTGTTTGTATGTCAACATGGGTGATCCCTGTTCTGGCTGTTCACATTATATGGTGTGGGGGAGGGGAAGGGAGGTTGTGTCTTAACTTAATTTGTTTGAAAGTGCAAATTGAATCTAGATCCTTAATAATATTTTGTAGTTCTCTCTGAGATTCTTACAGTCTAAGACACTCTGTCTAGGATCCTGCAACCCTTACTATATTCCTGGCACCTGCCAGTTACTTGTTAGGTGCTGTTTCCCCAAAACTGCTATCTGTATGATTACACATCATGCCTTGGTTAATGCTCACACCCGACATCCATACCGGCACCCGATTAGATCCCTCCCACATCCAAATCCATCCCTGTATGTGCATTAGTTTGGAATTGGGAAGCTCTTGCAGCTTCAAAACAATATTTTAGAGGGCATTGTTTGGTGATAGTGAGATTAGTTCAGTTATATATTATCTCCATTATTCCAGAATGATCACCTAGTACCAGAAGCGATCAATCATACTACATGGCATTACATGTATCAGGGCTGCCCCCTGCCAAGGTGATGGGGGGGGGGGGGAAGGCACGGGGTGACCAACAAATTATTGTGGTGCTAAAAATGAAGGTGATTCACATGTTTAGGAAGGGAACAAATTTAGCTGGGCTCTCTCAAGTTCGGCCCCTTAAATTTGTGATACTTTTTTCTGGCATTGTTCATATATGCCTTTAAATTATACCCAGCACAAGGTGTTCATTTTAAATGTCCCAGTCTAATTAGCAGTTATGAGAACAAATTACTGTTCTAATCATTCTGTCATTTATTTTCAATACAACAATGTATAAATTGATAAATCATCTCACTTTCATTGATAATTCTCAAATTCATTAATAATTCATGAGCAATTCAGCCAATGATAATCACCTATTTGATCACAAGATGCCATTTGGATAACCCAGTGAAACTTGATGAAAGTCACTAGTGTTTTCATCAAATATCTTAATTACGCATGCAAAATTACTTGAATAGAATTCCTAATTATGTTATGCTTGGTTAAGAATTCTATTCAAATCAGCAAATGTAAACATTCTGTTATGTCTCAATTAATTTGAAAAACAATATAAACAACTGGAGCTCGTGTCTCACTGCGATATCCAAACACTCATTTGGATATCCCGGTGAAACACTCGCTCTCATTGTTCATATATTACAGTACCGCTCAGAATTAACCTAACAAAAACTGTGGTTTAACCTCGGTTGAACCTCGGTTTGACCGCGGTGATTTAAAGGTTTGACCGAGGTTATACCGCGGTAATTTTGAGGTTAAACCGCGGTGACCGTGAGGTTTAACCGAGGTTTGAACGCAACTGAACCGATCCGCAAGCTTCGTATATGCTCGTAATAGCATTCGTAAATATTCGTGTATTTCCGAAGGGGTCATTATAAAAACTTCGTGTGTGCTTTATAAATATTGACATGGCCAGAAATCGAGGTCAGCCAGCGGGTTGACCTGTGGGCTCAAAATCTCAAAAATTCAAAATGGCGGTTTGATTCTATAAGGGGAGCTATTGCAGAATATAACCGTCCACTTCTAAATACTTCACTTGTTATCATAACACGCACGCAATAAGCAAAATATAGCTTACCCACGCTTTATAATAGTGTGAGTATACAATTATTATGTAATCATTTTCACTTCGTATCATCTTATCATGATAATTACAAGTGAGGTCTCCAAAAGTAGACGGGTATTCTGCAATAATCATTCCTATGAAAAACACTATATTTAGCTATAATCAAACAAAAATAAACGTAAATACTAATACTGGCAACATTAATCCACTTTATTATTGAAATCTCAGAACGAATCTTCGCCAACACAAACCAAATATATTAAATTTGCTGCGCTTGTTTTTATGAATATACGAGCAAATTTAAAAATAATACAGCGGTATAGGCCCTGGTAACCTAGTAACAACTCAAAACAGGAATGTTAAATGGCAGCAAGAAGCAAAGTGGCGAGCATATTTTGCTTGTTTATGCTTGTTTAGCGACTATTTCCCAGCGCTTGGTGGACTAAATTTTGACGAATCTGCGGGAACAGGTTTAAGCAAGCCGTTGAGCCTTTAAATGCAGCTAAAAGGAAAGTATTGTCCACCTCGAATATGCGTCGACATGGGACCGTGCGAAAAGTTGACAAAAAGGCCAAATTTACATATTGGAAAACCTCACTTCGGCAAATTATGTCAATTTATTAGGTGTTTACATACAAAGCGAGAAGTAGAAATATAAATCTCTCGGGAACATATCTACGCTACTCGGACTGTCGCCAGATTTTTGGGAGTTGATACTGGCCTTATTTGATAAATTTTTAGACGTGGGGCCATGTAATTTCTTTACAGGATCGAACACAAAATGCGTATGTTGAATTTTCTCTTATCAAATCTATAGTATGCCGCCATTTTGAATTTATTTGGTGTAAGCTTAATAATATAATAATATATAGGGTCAATAGGTTAGGTTTATGCTTGAGCGAGCTCCGCTTAAATATAAAAATTTTCAGTTAATTTCTCAGCTATTATATTAAGCTTTATATTTAATTAAAGCTAAGAATTTTGTGCATCCTCTCATCGTATTTTGAAATTGGATTTGTATCGTGGTGTAAAGTTATTGTGGTTTGTTGGATCGTATTGCTATCGTATTATTATAGCGCTACAACTGTGAATTTTGGTTAATGAACAATATCTTTGTCGTCGTTTGTCGTTTTCGTCCAAATCTTGCTGTGTGATCTACGAATCGTTTTGTGGTTATTTTGTTTAATTTTGGTGTTATTTAAACGTCGTGTTCATGAATTATTCAACATTAATTATTTTTGACCGTTGGAACTTTTGAAATTTAAATCCCGTCTGGCGTCGCTCTCCATGGCAACAACTATCTTATGCAATAAAATGCTCAATAAAGTTTTTGGATATCTCTTCTTTCTCATTTTAACTTTCTGGTTATCAATAAGATCAAAACCATCAGAAATTCAACCCAACGACAGAACATTTCCCCAGAATATCTGTAGTATTTCCCCAGAACTAGTGTCAATATCAAATCGATTGTGTTGTCTTTGGTCCTCCACGCGCGATAATACTTTACGTAAGTCTGCTTTCCCTCTCATGTCTAATCACAGATATGGCCTTCAATTTAACATTGCGAATAGTAATTTGCACCTTCTCCTGTGTATTCTACTTGCTGGTGATATAGCAACTAATCCTGGACCTGCCTGCAACTCAACATCATTACGATGCCTTTCCTTTAATGCTCAAAGCCTCGGAAGCCACAACTCTACTACTAGTAATTTAAAATCGTTTCAGGACCTTGTCTATGGTGAGAACTTAGATGTTATCACTATTACAGAAACTTGGTTAAATGATAAGATATTTGACAATGAGATTTTACCTAACGGCTACAATATAATCAGGAAGGATAGACCAGGAAAGAAACGAGGAGGAGGTGTATTGATCGCGCTAAGAGAGAACATTCCATATAACATTGTATTACCGTCAAATGCTAAACGAAACTGGCATGATCTTCTAGAAATTGTTGCAATCGAAATCCAGTTGAACAAAAATAGTAAAAAAGCTCTTTTATGTGTCTGTTATCGATCTCAGAAGTATAAAACCGAATCTTGGTCTCAAATGTTTACTGAATTCTTACAAGACACCCAAAATTATGATCTGATTCTTATAACTGGTGATTTTAACTTCCCTGAACTGACTTGGAATTCCACTCTCGTAGCCTCAAGACCTGTTTCAGCTCACTCTGTGGAATTTCGTGAACTAACTTTAGACTTCTTTTTGGAACAAACTAACACTCATTCTACACGTGGAGATAATATCCTAGACCTTGTGTTTTCAAGAACCCCTGAAGCCATAAAAGACTTGACTTGTATTTGCCCAAAAACCATGAACATATCTAGTGATCACGGTTTATTGATGTTCGACTTCCACTTAACCATGAGTTCATTTGGCTGTAGCAAAAGAACTGTTTTCGATTTCAAACGTGCTGATTGGAATGGTCTACAGAACAAGCTACGCTTTTCAAATTTGTCTCCAACAGATCACTCAAATCTAGACCTTGACGCTGATTGGGAGAAATGGAAAAACACCTTCCTTAGTGCAGCCGCTGACCATATTCCACGTAAATCGCTCAAGAAAAACAGTTCTCCTCCCTGGTTCGACGGTGATATTAAACACCTTATTAATAAGAAGGATTTTTGCAGAAAAAGGGCAAAACAGTCGCTGAATCCAAGTGCATGGGAAAAGTTTCGAACTCTAAGGCGTCAAGTCAAATCATTGTTGCATGACAAGCATAAAGAATTCTTTCAAAATCTGCCTGATCTCTTGAAAACAAGCAGCAAAAAATTTTGGTCCGTTTTTAAGTCAGTCTCCAAACATTCGAACATACCAAACAAAATTTCTTGGTCTAAAGATCCTACAACGCATATCGCTGCTGACAACCCTGCGGACATTGCAAATGTATTCAACCGTTATTTTTTCTCGGTCTTTAACACTGCCCAATGCCACGATTCACGTCGTCACCTCGACCAAGAAAACTATAATACCATTGACACACTTCAGGATATCGTTATTACGCCTGAGGAAGTTTACGAATGTCTCTGCACACTAGATCAGAATAAAGCATCAGGACCTGACAGAATTCCAGCCACACTTTTGAGACACTGTGCTTCCAGTATCTGCTCGTCTCTTTCTGAGCTTTTCAATAACAATTGTCTGTTGGTAAGTTGCCAAAAGAATGGAAACTGTCCAACATTACGCCAATCCCAAAGAGCGGGTCTTCTCGCAATGTTACCAATTACCGACCTATTTCGCTTCTATCACTTGTATCCAAGGTACTTGAGAGATGTATCTACAACAGGCTTATTGAGCACATTGGAGAAAAATTACATCATCTGCAGTTTGGTTTCTTGAAGGGCAAGTCAACTACTAGTCAACTCCTGCAGGTGTTACACGACATTGGAAACAATCTAGACAACAAGTGTCAAGTAGACACACTGTACTTGGACTTTGCCAAGGCATTTGACAAAGTAAACCATGAACTGCTGCTTTTCAAATTGAAACGTTTTGGCATCTCCGGTAATCTCCTATCTTGGCTACGTGATTATCTTTCTGGTCGCTACCAGAGGGTAACGGTTCTCGGCGAGACCTCGAATCCATTACCTGTCCTATCTGGTGTGCCACAGGGATCGATACTCGGACCACTACTTTTCCTGGTTTATGTAAACGATCTTCCCGACTGTGTCTCAAGTTCTTCATCATTGGCAATGTTTGCGGATGACTCTAAATGTTATCAACCCATTAAATGTTATGAGGACGCCGAAGTCTTGCAGTCTGACATAAATGCTATTGACTCTTGGTGCAAGGAGTGGCAGATGTCTTTAAATCACTCTAAATGTGGTCTCCTTCGCATTACAAGAAATTCTCAACCGATCCATTACTGTTACAATACGGGAGGCAACTTACTTAAAACAATCAACAAACAAAAAGATCTTGGTGTTATAGTCTCTAAAGATCCTAAATGGAGCCTCAACGTCCAAGCCGTCTCAAATAAGGCCAACAAAATGTTGGGGTTCGTAAAAAGATTGTGTTTTCATGCAAGTGACCCAAAAGGACGAAAGACCCTGTATTTAGCCCTAGTAAGAAGCCAGCTTGGTTACTGTAGCCAAGTGTGGGCACCCCAAACCACCCATGACATTCAAACCCTGGAACGAGTTCAGTGTCGCAGCACGAAGTTTATTTTATCTCTTCCATTTCAAACAGATATTTCATATCCTAAAAGACTCGCTAAACTCAACATTCTTCCAATTACCTACTGGCATGAATACCTGGATCTTGTTTATCTATTCAAATGTCTTTATGAAAATTCCGACAAAAATATAAAACTACATTCACCAAATCGTGTAACCAGACGCTCTAGTTCCACATCAGGACTCCTTCTTCAGATTACCAAATCAAAAACAGTAACCTTTCAAAACAGTTTTTATATCAGAGCATGCAGAACGTGGAACACTCTACCAATATCTTTAAGAAACTTAACTTTATTGTCTTCGTTTAAACGTTGTCTATTTAATTACTATTTTTTATTAACTTCTATTGTTTATAACCCAGAATTGCCGCACACATACAAGACTGTTTGTGTCAAATGTCACAAAGCCCGTCCTTTGGATTCACTCAGTGACACTTTGTGCTGCTAGTGCCCTTTCTTTATATTATGTGCTGACTTTTTGTTGTTTTTTGTTGTGATGCACTATTTAGTGTTTAACTCTTTATATACAATATTTCTATGTATTTTACAACTGACGCGGGGAACCCGTTATTGGAGCTTCGGCTCTGTGGGTGCGCCCTTCCTGTTTTTGGGTAAATTAAATAAATAAAGCTTAACGTGCATGCTTGTCAGCCATGTTGTCCTTCATTTCTGGCCATGCATATTTTGTAAACATTGAGGCATGGGGAGGCTGTCGCTTTATGCCAGGGAGCGATCGCGAATTGTCTCCTTACTTTCGACAAATACTTCAGTTGTTGGAATAACTAAGAGTTTAAACGAATGGTAAAGGCAAATATGTGGGTCTCTTCTTGTTTATTACAGTTTAAATAGATGTTTTAGAATAAGTAAGAATTTGGCGTGCGCATCAACTTAAATTAACTTAACTCTTTAATATAATAAAGGCTAAAGGTTATAACGTGTGTACCTAAAAGGTAAATAAAATCTCGGCCTTTTAGGCACACACGCGTTATAACCTGTTATAACGTGTGTACCTAAAAGGTAAATAAAATCTCGGCCTTTTAGGCACACACGCGTTATAACCTGGAGCCTTCATTATAAAACTTTATTATAATTGACAATCTTAGCCTTTATTATAAAACTTTATTATAATTGACGATCTGCTGTAGCCCTTATTATATAATGCCTTTATTATAAAACTTTATTATAATTGACGATCTGCTGTAGCCCTTATTATATAATTGAAGCTGACACCACAGCCTTTAAGCTTTCTCTTAGCTGTTATATTATAGCCCGAGTTAGCATTTTATTAGTGAAGACATTCTATACCGTGAATATTTTACTGCTTTTGGTCGGAAAACCTCGGAATCAGCATGCATATTAAAATTGCGGTTAGCTTTTTGCTGATGCGTGGGCTAAACCGCAAAAAAAACACCCGTTAACCGCAGGCTAACCGCAAAACGTCTGCAACCGCAGTGTTAGGTTAATTCTGAGCGGTACTGTACGTCAATGTACTAAATACTAATTGAGTTGATCACAATATAGTGCACTGTTACTGAAGCTTGTCAGTCCTGCTCATGCAATCAGATACCTACCAAGTCCATAACTGCACTACTCCCTGTCTATCCTTAATATCTTGAAACAGCAGTTTTGGATATATACAGTAGACACACCTGAATGTATGATTTGGGATTCAATGCAAAATCTGTGGAGATTATTGGTCAATGTTTCGTATCTATGTTCTGCAAATAGTTTCAATAATTGTTTATTTTTATTATTAACTGCCCAAACAATAATGGAAACTAGTACCTAACACCCTTGAATACCTTGATAATCTTACAGTATTTAAAAATTCAAACTGCATTTGTTGAAATATTGGATATAAATGCATGTCAGAAATATTGAGTGAGTAGGTCCAGAGAGGGCCTTCATATACAGTAACTCAAAGTTGCCCTGGAATTAATCCTGGATTATTAAAATAATTTAACTGGAATTTATGTCATGGTGGTGGTGCTGGAAGGCATTTGTCCTGAAACATTGTTATATTGATTGGTGTTAACTGGTTACAGGAAGTGATATCATTGGCAATGAATATAATAGTTTGCTTAAGTATTCTTACCTATTTTGCATCAGAAACACAAACTTTTCATGTCATTTGCAACATATTTTGCACCGAAAAAGTGTCCGGTTTTGCTTTCAATTATTCTATCAGTTTTGGAAGTACAGTATGTTGTGTACATTTGTATGTAATGTACATTTGTATGTAAAATTGTAAATTATAGCTACAACTTTGCTACTCTATAATCCTCACTCAAATAGGATCAAATAAATAAGGCTAGTCAAGTTTCTAACTGATAAAACTCAGCATAAAAATGTTTTCAATTTATTTTAAAACTCACATGATTATGTTGTTCTCACACTCTTTCAAAATCGAAACGTAATAATAATATGAGGTCTAGTGCATCAGTCAACCAAACCACTGGATCCGCCCCTGGGTTGCAGATAATAGGCTGTTGATTTGAAATGAAATGATAGATTGAAAATACAAATATATAAGAAAGGAGGATATGTAGATACAATAAGCTGATTATGGATAAAATCGCAACTGAGGAAAATGCTACCATTATATTTGCATGAAAAATGCATGTCAATGTGATAGCTTACTGTGAAAAAAATTATTGTTCAAGGTGACATGGTATAGACAGAGAAGGAAATTGTGACAGGAAGTTATAAATGCTTTAATTGGTGTAGCTGTAAGACAGCCACTCATATTACGAAAGTCACCGAACTGTGGAATGGGTCCAAATGTTTGTATTGCGACCACACCCACTTTCTTGAAGGAAGTTGTAAATATTCTTCAAGAAAGTGGGTGTGTTCCTCATAATGCACTTAATATTATATTATATTTAAGAATAAACATAGCTGAGACAAGTAAGGCAGGACGTGTTTATGAGTGTGGGAAAGCAATTCGTCATGATTTAAGACAGAAAATAATCCAAGATATTCTAGGAGACTTAGTTACAGGGTTCTTTGACGGAAATTTTAAAGAAATTGCCCTCATGAATTGAATAAAATATATGACACAGTGAGAAAAATTTGGAAACAGTTCTGCGAAACTGGTAACATTCGTTTCGAAAGTCGACCAAGTGGCAGTAAACATCTACAACAGGATGATATCAACTTCATCCCACCGTCCATCTATGAGCACAGGTGAACTTTACAAACATTTAAATGAGTTTGGTAACAGTGTTGGTGGAACAAGTTACTCAGGAGTAAGACGAGTTCTAAAATATCACATGGGCGATGGCGAATGGAGTTGGAAGAGACTAACACATTCCGTTCAAGAAAAGTTTACTACCGCCAACCTGACCTATTGTCAAGAATTTGTAAATTATGTCCACACAATTGATCCTCACAGATTGAAGTATTTTGATGAATCAGGAATTAAACTTTGAGATGTTGGGAGGCCGAATTATGGCTACTCACTAGTAGGGACTCCAGCCGTTGAGATTTCTAGAAACATGCATTCGCCTAATATTACACTTCACTTGATGTGCGGATTGGATGGCATTATTTATGCGAACACCGTAGATGGTGCAAGCAATCATTTAAGTTTCCTTAATTTCTTTGAAGAATCTAACAATTCATCATTATTGAGTGGGCCAAGCACAGGGAGAATGGTTGGACAACATAGGATGTGTTCTTTGGTACTTACCGACCTATTTGCCAGAATTTAACCCAGCCGAAAACGTATTTAATAAGCTGAAAACAATTCTAAGGCGATTTGAGTACAGAGAACTGTTGCGGGACAGTCTTCATGTGGCTGTACACCAAGCTCTACAAGAAATTGCGACAAATGATATGGATTTTTTAAGTTCACTGGATACATTAATGTTTAACTGTTTAATAAGGCTTATTTCAAACATCGCTCTTTTCATGTGCCGAATGTATTAGAAACAATATTAATAGATAATGATTAATGATGCGTTTCAGCTGATTATGTTTGAACATGATAGTTCAGACAATATAAATGTTGCATGTAGAACACATATCATAGAACATTTTAAACCTTGTAAAATTCCAAATTTGTCCATATATAATTGTTCAAATTGTTTCATGTATTTACTAGATAAATAAATCAACCATATTTCAGTTTATCAATGTATTACAAATAGCCATAAATACATGCAGTTGCACTGTCACTACCGACCATAACTGTGTATAATTTCTCTTATATGGCATAACTTCCACAAGTCAGTCAAAAATTAGAAAGCACAATTTTCAAAGATAACATTATCCTGAAACAGCCGCATATTTCTGTATCAAATATTACTGTAAAGATGCGGCTGTTTCAGGTTAACGTTAGTTAATACATGCATGACAACACCAGTGATGCTCACAACAGATTGATGTTATTTTAAAGTGCCTATGCAACGAAAAAATGGATCCACTTTTTCCGTTTGGATTAGGTACTTTACTATGTAGATATTATTTTTATCAATAAAATAATTCTAAAAACGCTATCAATCGTGAGTTATTTTCGTTTGAATTGCGATAATTATCGTGAAAAAGACTAGACATAAAATATAAGAAACCTGGGGCGAGTGACGTCATTGGTTGTGTATGCCTCGAGGAGAACGTCGTTTTGTTTGTTTTTTTTATATACAATCACAAAGAGAATAGAGCCATATTTTAATAATTTATGAGCGAAATGACAGAAAGCGAATCGGAATATTCTTCGTCATCATCTGAAGAAGAGCTTGACGTAAATAATTCGCACGAGGGCGAAGTAGAAAGCATATTTGTATGCCGTATCAAGATGAACCTTTGGCAGACACCGATGAGTCGAGCGATGAATCCGACGAGCAGGACGAAGATGGATTATCCCCTTTCACACTGGAGAGAAGATACGATAAAACCGATCCTGTTGAGTCATGGTATATATAAAAATTATTATTGGATTACTAATATTGTGTTATTCAGCCTATACAAGGTGGTCAATAAGAGTATAGGTTTTGTGTTGTTTTAATATATAAACAAGTCTTAAAAACACTTTTATATATGTTTGAAAGCAAACCTCAACAGGTTTTATTATATACACTACTGTATTAAACAAAAACTTTCTTCTAATGTTTATATGCATGTCTCATAAATAGAAAACCATTGACCGTTAATATTATTTAGGTGCTTGTGTAGTCATTGCAATGACCAACATTTGGATTGTGCCCTTGAGTACAGATGCTGTCAAGAAGTGAATCCAGTTGTCCATTTGCTGGGATTTGATGGTAGCTGTGAAAAGGTTAAATGTATTACAGAGCATCCTGATTTTGGGCCTATGACCAATAGAGCAGTGCTTACAACTGTTGCACCCATGCTAAAAGATAAACAAGGGAGAGGTTATCGCCGTCAACCTGGTAGATCTGAGAATGAGTAAGTTACATTTTCTTTTACACTAACTTTGCAAGGACTGTGTATGCCCAACTTAGCATTTGAGATTGATTCAAGTTACTTCATGTTAAAATTGCAGACTCCTCCGGGCCACGGCATACAGATGGCTGATAAGGTGGTTGTGTGGCTCTTTAGGGTGGGACAACACTCGTCCATTACCAGCATGTATCTACCACAGCATAAGGACAAGGATACATACAGAGAACAGAACAGGATATGCAACAGCACAAGCCAGGAGTGATGAGTGACTTCACATACTGTGTGTTATTCAATAATTATATGTATTTAAATTATGTAAACTTTTCAACAAAATGAAATATAATGCATGGTGTAATTCTGTGTGTACATTTGCCCATTGCAACACATGGGAAAACATGCATAACCTGGAAATACACGCTTCCGGAAAGTATGTCACTTTGTTATAGAGCCTTGTTTTCGTGATTGAGACGCGGCCTTTAACTGATGTCTGATACATGAAAACGAGGCTCTATAGCATAAGTGAAGTACTTTCCGGAAGGGTGTATTGTATTAATTGGCTGGTTCTGAGGAAGTATTGATAAGTAGGTTTAAGCATTCACATCCAATCTGTATCTGATTTACTGTTGCTCGCCTTGTAAATCATATACAGATCAGCTACTCATGCTTTACATATTATTTTATCCTTACTTTATCATCATCATTCGGCTGTAGCCAAGATATGCTTCACCATCAACCAGTACATATATTGCTTATCTAATATAATTGTTAACTAGTTATTTATTAATGTTATCAAAATGTCCCTAAGGGCACTTGTTTCGGGGATGACCCTTCATGGGCTGGTGGCACTTCCTACAACATCGGGCCTTCTTCTTTGCAGGCGGACCTTCTTGGGTATTGTTTTGTTGAATGAGCTGTGACTGGAGTTCAGTTTGCTTGTTGACTAGATAAAACAAAATAATATTTTTTAGTCTATTGTTTGTTATTGATATATTTATAATCAAAATACCTGTATTACATTTACCTGCTGGAAATAATTCTGTCTTAAGTTTATTTCTTTCATATTTGAGACATATAGCCTCTGCTTTTGACACTCGATCATCAAATTGTCTGTTGAGAGGATCTGGTATCTTTGCCTGGTATTTTTTGAGCATCTTCAAATGTTCTTTGGCCGAGTGATTAAGCATTACTTCTTTAATAGCAGACACATAGTCTGAAATGGTTAAACAGTTGCAAGTTGTTATTGTAGTAGTTAGTTTGCATTAAATTAACCTAGCAATTTTTAAGACCATTACAGATATTTTAAAATTCTGCACAATTGAGCATGCTTGCTTAAATAGTTTACAAGTATCACCTGTGTAATTAAATTGTGATAGCTCAATATATATACAAATTGATACATTAATTGGTATGCCTACCGTAACTTTGGGGAACTGAAACTTCTCGCACTACTTCCTCTCCTTGTTTGAACTTTGGCCAAGTAACTTTGTAATAAATTTTACCATCTTTTCTCTTACGAGCTTTTCTTTTGACATTTTCATTGACGTGGAGGCTGGCCAAAATATTTCTAAATTGTCAGGATAACCCAAACAAAAAATTGGATCATTCCAGAAAAGTTTCACACTACCCCCATGGAGGAATTTTCTGCCATCCTGAAGGGGCGGGGAGAAAAAATTGTTTCTGAGGATAGTAAGTGTCTTAGGACATCCAAAGGGAGTAGGGTTGACCTCCAATATCCTCTGTGGGGGAGGTAATGGATTTTTTTGGAATGACCTATTAGGTATTTTATGTACAGTATTGTATAACTGTGCAATGCTTCCTATATAGCATATTTGGCATTGTAAGGTTAATCAGACTTTATTGTAATAGTTTACCTGCAATATGTCCCAAGCCAGGAGAAACACATCATTTTGGGATGCCAGTAGTTCAATGTAGCATGGTATCCCTCGAGACAGCTAGTCTGTGCATCAGGAGACAGTTTTTTAATATCATTCAGAATTCTGGTGTTCATAAGAATTGAATTCAGTTTTTCGTGACTCTTTGTTCCTATATATATATATAAAATAAAAATTAGGTAAATTAGTAAAGATCAACTGAAAGCAGCTTTGAAATATATCCCTTTAAATTGGTAATAATGCAGGATTTGCTAAAGCAGGTTACAGTACCTATCTTTATCCATTTTCTGCGCTGAATTTCATCATGAGCACAAATTGGAAATAATGAATCTGAATGTCCTGTATGTCGATTGGCAACATGCATCATAAAGGACTTCCACTTTGCCAATATAAGTTGCTCGAAGCCCTGCTTAGTGCTTGTGGCACACCAATATACATGTCTTCGGACTCCTTTCACCCAGTAGGTAATTCTTTCATAACCCTTCTTTTTGCCAGCCTTCAGCATTTTTTTAGTGATGGATCTGGCAACATGCCAGATATCATAAAAATGACTGGTCTTGGGTTGGTGCTCTCTGATCCATTTAGCGATGCCCAGGTGCCTGTCAGAAATGAACACAGAAATTGCAAGTCCTGCCAATAACAAGAAGTCAAAGCACTGTTTTGCTCCCTGTAACTCCATTGCTTGACTACTTCCAGCTTGATTGGCCTACAAAAGACAAATTTTGATGTGTTCAAAACTATCAAAAATAAAAATCATCTAGGAGTAAAACTTGATTCTGATAATAGTAAGTGTATTAGGATATACTTGGGGGGGGGGGGGGTTAGATATATAATTATATACCAACCTGAAGTAACTCAAAGTGTACAATTTTCAAGGTAGTACAACAAAACATTGTGTAGAGTCCATATTTGGCACTATGACCCATGGAATCGAACCTTCCATCACCGCTCCATACAATATCTTTTGATCTCCTCAATTGCTCAATCATGTTGGCCCTGTATGTTTCCCAGTGTTGCAATATTGCAGGAAAGACAAACTTTTTTTGATGGAGAAAGAATGTACGGATTGATATGACCGATAGCTTCATGTGACTGCATAGCAGAAGAACCCGGCTAATCGAGGTCCCAGCCACCAACACAGCAAAACTGAATAAAATGTTCCCAGCTGGATATCGTCCCAGTACATAGGGCTGACTTCGCCAGATAAACGGTTTATTTAGGCATTTACTGCATGTCTGAACAACTGTTACCATTGTCCCATTTCTCTTCATAGTCACTTTTGCATTGAAAGCAAAACATTGTGAACAGATTTAACAACATTGTATAGAAAACCATAAATTTTGGTTCTTCATGAGCTGGTATGCCAGGTTCTACCCTAAAAACGGTATGGTAATTTAGAATACAATTCATGCAACATGGTAGATGAATAAACTGTACAACTATACACAATATCCACCTCAGACAAGAATTTATAGGAGGTTAATATACTTCATAAACAAACATTGTGACCAGGAGTGCCGTCATATGTTTGAATCTAGTGATTTTAGTCAAGGAAAAGAAATTTGGTTTGTCCTAAGCAGTTTAGAATAAGCTGCATTTAATAACAATGCCAATAAATTTATAGTATACATACCTTACTGTATTTTTGGTGTCTATACAAGGATCTTCATTATCTTCATCATCATCATCAGGACCCTCTATAAATTCTTCTTCAAAATTCCACTCTGGATCTTCATTATCTGTACGACACTCCTCCTCTGTACAGCTACCAAGCTCACTTGCCGTATCTTCCTTTTGGCTCAGATAATCATCATGATCATGACATGTTGACTCAGACTCATCTTCTGTAGTTTCAGTTGAATCAGATTCATCTTCTGTAGTTTCAGTTGAATCACCATTACAACTCTATAAATACAAGTATTGACTATTGGATTGCAAATATTTTACTCAGGTATACAGTGAGCTTTCTCAAACAGTTCTAGTATAATATTTTATTATATTGTATTATATATTCTACTATAATATTCTTTATTTACTCTTGGTTGGTATCAGTGGCACCGTGGGTCTCACGTGTTTTTTTTTTGGGGGGGGGGCAAAGGAAGTATTTTTCCGACAAATCAATACGTAAAAAAAATTCCGGACTACAACATTTTAATCCCCCCTCCCCCCTCGACAACTTTTTTGGTCAAAAAATTTTCTAGACAAGACACAACTAATTGCTTCCATAGCAATTTTTAGGTTAAAAAATTTTCCGGACACTAAAGAAGTAATTGCTTTCGTGGCACTTTTTCCGAACTTGACCACGAAGATCCCGACAATAGGGGGGCCATGGCCTCCCCTGCCAACTCCCAGCCACGCCGCCACTGGTTAGGCGTAAAAAAATACCTGTGGTTCCGGTTCCCAACCGACCTTATATTTTTTTCTGCCGACCCTATTATTTCTTCAACACAAGTGACCGTGCGACCCTATTTTCTCCAGGTGGTTGCGGGCTGCTGCCAAAATTGCGTCTGTTGTCACATATTCAAAAAAAATTGTTTTCTGACCTACCGACCCTAATTTTTTCGCGATGTGAAACCGGAACCACAGGTATTTTTTACACCTTGGTATTAAATAGCTAATTTAACCCATTAGCTGGCAATGTGCCTGAATGAACAAAACTATCTGCCTGTGTCTGTTGTTAACCTGTTAGGTTGCAATGTGCCCGGATGAGCCCTTCTAAGTATTTCACTTTGTCTAAATGCCAGACGATTTTACATGTTGCTAGTAAAGTACTGCCAGTGAATGGTTAATTTTGAAATGGTCGTGATCATCCTCACCAGGTTCAAATGCTCTCTTAGATTTTGTGCTGTTCTTCTCAGGTAGCTGTTGTTTTTCTGAAGTCGTCGTATAGCGAGACTTTTCTTGGAGCATTTCTCACACAAAATTGGTGTGGAGAGGGAATCTTTCTGATTATTTCCTGCACTGGGTTGGTTTGAAATTATCTCTTCCATTACAATGTCTGTTGTAGAATCTGTGTCTGGAACACTTGTTGTGGCATCCATATTTACCAAGCTATTTGAAGAACTCATACTGACATCATTTGTTGTAGGATTTGTATCATCAGTGGATTTGCATGCACTGTTCATATGGCCAGTGGCAGTGGATGGCATTGACGCTGGTTCGAGCACCTATTAACGTATTAATATTGAAGGAATTATGCTCAGCATACTGTTAATTTGAAGAATAAAAGGCTTGATATAAATCTGATAAGAAGTAGCTAACAGATTGCAGCTCAAACTGATTTATTACTGGAATAAATAAACAAATACAGCGGAAAATTCGCCTTACCTTTCTCATGATCATTCTCTTATCTCGAACCGTTAATAAATCTTGTGTATCGGTCTGCTTTTTTATCTGTCGAGCCGTGTCAATTGTGGGAACAGACCCGTTGACCAGTCGTGTGTTCTTGGAAATTTCAACAGAAACGTTTTCGGGGTCAAGAAGATCCAAGCGACGAGTAAAACAGTGTTTGTCAAAATGAACCGAACACAACACAGACGTTTGAGATGGTTTAAATCCTGGCCTATGCTTCTGAACAAATTGAGTCCATTTTCGCTTTAAAATATCATCTGATGGAAAAGTATGCATGGATATATCTTTAGTCAAGCTAGTATTATTACAACTTATATTCCCCGGTCCACCAGCGACGCAAAATTTTCCACTAACCCTTTTTTTTCGATCTCTTTGAAGGCTCGCCATGTTTTTTTGTTTACCGCTCTTTCAACTATACACAACCAATGACGTCACAACGGTCAGAGGGGTCTCGATTTGGCGGAGAGGAAAGTGTCTCAACATTTTAGGCAAAATCTACTGTTTTCAACCGTAAAAAACCTTACTTCCTTTTAACTAATACCTTTGAAACTTTCAACATCAAAAGAAACCGGTTCAAATGTTACTTTCATGCCATTTGCTATACTTTGGAATTTTCGTTGCATAGGCACTTTAACGCTTTCTATATAATAGTAATTATACAATTGATATTTTTTAACTGTATAAACAAGAAACTATAGCAATTTCCAACTCAAAAGCAACGTGAAAATTAACGAATAACAAATGTCAACTGTCAATATCAACTATGTAATCTATATAATTAGATTTACTGAGATTGTTATGAATTGTGTAAAAATTACCGCAGTTTTTTCGCTCATTTTTTATGCTGCCTTAAAAAGTAGCGAAAGTCCGTAATCTGTTTCTTCCTCGGATTCTTCAACGAAATCATGGCACTCAGAGCGACCAGTACAACTAATTGCGGGTATCCCAGTGACGGTGTGTGTATCCGATGATGGAAATGATTGCAAACTTTGTTCAATTCCTATTTTAATGTGGTAATTCTCTTCCTCCAAAGTAGTGGGGAAATATTGCCCTAATGCTGTAGTAGGAATTACTTGGCTGCTAGTAGAATAAGTGCTGTTCGGAAGTACACCTTTCCCTGGAAATTTTATTCCTTTCTGTTCCCGGAGCTTGACCACTGGATTTACATGTTCATGTTGTGTTGACTGTTCGCTCACAGTTTCATTAAAAACATCAAATCCTGCTTCATACTTGGTTACAGGTGTATGTACCACAGAATACCGCAAAAATTTACATGTTCCATATCTTTTGTATAATGTATATAATATGGTTCCTTAATATTTTTTAGCATAGTCTATCGATATATTTTTTCTTCCTGGGGGTTTTGGGACAAGATTTCATAGACTTAATTATTTTTTTTTAAATGAATATTCTGTGGAAAAAAATCCAATGTACCACAGAATACCAGTGCAGAGGTAAGTAAGCAACGGTTTATCAAATTGTACCAGGATTTGGTGTGTCATGTTGTATGATAATACTGTGAGATATTACCAACTTAATTTAGTGAAAGTTAAACACTAAAATCAGTACAGAATACCAGTGGTATAACCAAAGAATACCAGGTTTATCAATAATTTTGAAAAATTCAGTTTTTCAATGGTAAAATTGATTACACTGTGTGATTCCAGTGTAGTAATAATGTTGTGTTGCATAGAAAAAGTATTGATCAACATAAATTATGCTGGTTTGCGAACTTATTTTTAAACATTCGGATTTTACAGGCATTATGCGAAAAAAAGTACCAAAAATATAGAATGTTACTTCTTGATAATCCTGATTATTTTTAAGAATTTTTAAGAAAATATACATTTTTTGTTTTTATATGTCAACTAAGACTAAAACTAACATCTAATCACAAAAATAAAGTTTATAGCATATTTCCTTAAAATTTTATAAGAGAAATAAATAAGACAGGTATTCTGTGGTACCATGGTATTCTGTGGTGCATATACCTGTAGTAAGTTCTGAATTTCTCCAATATCTGGAACTTTTCCCTTACACACTCTTTCAAGCTTTCGAATATCTGTATTCATGACTAGCCAGTTCGGTATGTTGTCTCCAGCGATAGTTTTCCTAAGGTATTTATCAGGATTGCTGTTAATTAGATTTGCTTGCACTTTGGCAGCAAATGTGTTGAGAGCTGAGGCGTAGGGTTCTTTCTTGGAAGTAAGATCGCTATCTAGTTGCTTTAATTTCCCATTTAAAACTTTCAACTCAGACTGTATTTGTTTAATATATTTCTCCTCATCTGGGTGCCATTTGATTTCTTTACATATTGTCACAGAAGAACAAGGAGGGATGAACAAATAGATTTATTATGTCCTGCTGAATGGCAAACTGCATGAGCATAAAGATGCCTTCTTGCCTTCCACGGTGGCACCAGTTAGTGGTTTACAGTTATTTTGAAGTTCAGATAATGTTGCTTCTTTGCGACATTTTGTTCTACATTGTCCTTGTCTTTCTAAAGTTTATCAAAGAACTTATCAGTGGGAGACCGGTACATTTTATCAGCTGTCTCACTGGTGGTATTATCAAACTCAAGGCATTTCACGGCTGACAGAGATCTTGACTTTTTAGCCATGTGTACTAATACAGCAGATTTTGGAGAGGGAGATGGAGAAACTCGAGAACGCTTTTGTGAAACGCTGTGCTTTGCGCCATCTTGTGGTGTGTTAGCTAACTCATTCATTTTAAAGAGTGAGTATCATGCCCGTGATGCATTGCGTGCTTATTGCCTTAGTCGGCCATTTTACGGTGCCGGAAAAATGGCCACCAAGTTGTATTTTGAGGATTAATGTGGAATCTGCGCGATATTTGAACAATCGTGTTATAAATTATTAATTTTTTGTATTCCCCTTGGAGCATTGACCATGTTAGAGGAATTGTTTGTTTGTTATGATAAATAATACGCCGTAATTTTCGATAAACTGGTGTATTTCCTTCCGAGTCATGGCTGGCGCATCGCCTCCGAAACGTGGAAGGCCAAAGAAAGACGAAGCAGTCGTGCGGATAAGATTAACCAAGCACATATATGACATGTGGACTACAAAAAAAGATTCTGCTGGGTTCGTGACGAAAACGCATAGCAAATTTGCAGAATATCTTATGATGAATACATACGAAGGTCTAAGCATCCAAACTCCTAGTAGTGGTAAGTTGAAATATTTAGTACGATCACTGCAGTTTATATTTATACTCTATATTTTACCCAAAGTCATGTTATTATGAATTATATATGGCTTGTATACAATTTACGTTTTGTCTGTTTCAATTTAGTGCATCATTCACATGTACCATGTTGTTCAACACCTGCTGTAGGACAAAGGAAAACTAGGTTATTTCAATTAGGGTATTTTCAGTTATAATATGGGTTTTTACTGTGAATATAAAGAATGCATGTCAAGTGATTGTTGACATGCAATGTTCCCTTTATGTCATTTGTAGTGTAAATATTCATGGAAAGTCTACTTCTCATATTTCTGGACATGAAGTCGAAGGTTTGGAGACTTTGGGCATCAGTACAATGGAGAACTTGTCACTCTCCATTAATCCTGAATTTGGAAAACATTTTGGCAACCCTTCCAGTTCCGAGACAGATACTACCAGCTCAGAATCAGATTCCGATTCAAGGTAATTGACCTTTCTATTTAAAATCATCTTTCATCATTGATAAAGACCCAGAGACATGATATTCATACGTTTATAAACTATATCCCAGGTTCAAAGGTGTAAACGTAATCAGCATGCAGATCATATTTGAACATACATAATGCAAGAACAAATGTAATCTGTAATAATATATAACCAGGCAACCAGCGATTATAACAGGAAAATTATCGGTCGAAAATGTGTTTCGTCCGGTACAAAACGTGCAACTGCAACATTTTTGAGGCTACAAAAGGTATAAGTAAAATAGATTGCTCTATCATACATGCATATCTTAGTACTGTGGCTTCACAGCATTGAGGGTTCGATTGCCGTAAAAAAATTCATATAAAGTATTCGGACACTTTATGCTTGTGAGAAATCTTACAATATTGTAACTCTGAGATAAAAAATGCACGTGCTCACCATAATCTGTTGTTTTGCTTCGTTGACTGCGATCTCGTGACGTTCAAATGCGTTTTTTCTTGCATTTGCGGAGGCAACTGTTCCCTGTCCCTGTGTCTTGTTTTTGCAATTAGCTGTTTTAGTTCCACATGAACATCTTTCTGTGCATTTGACACCTTCATCCTGGCAAGGGCAACCTCGCTACTTTCTGCCGCTTCGCTTGCTGCACGTGTTTTTGCAGCTACAGCGCTAAATTTAATAGGAATTTGTTGAGTAAATACAAGTCGCAAGTATACAGTTATTTGTTACTGAAACAACTGGTGAAAATAAGGTAAACTAACCTGTGTTCTATCATCGTCAGCGGCCAAAGTTGGTTCATTCAAGGGTTCAACCGCTGCGGCTTCGACGCCGGTTAAACGTTCTTCCCTTGGCGATATACAAACTGGCGACCCATACACATTTAGATCGTCCTCTAAATCGTAACGCTCCAAACAGACATCGTACTAGAATCACTTTATTTCGCACAACAATGTGAACAACTGCTATATTTCATGATATCGCACGAAATGTAAAGTGCTTCCGCAAGCATGTAAATAAACATAAGCATGCAATGCATCACGGGCATGATACTCACTCTTTAATTTGAATAATTTTTAGGTTTTCGTGAGTTGAGTTTCTTGCCGTTTCAAGCATATCAATGAATGAATCAAGATCTCCGATTGGAAGATCAACCCAGTCCTCTCTGTCATCCAAATACTTTAATGCAACTTCTTTGCCTCAAAGACTCGGAACTCTTTCCAAAATTCCTTTGCATAAGTGAGTGAAAATCTAACGTTTTCATCTCAATTGAGTTCAAAAACATCTTAACACACCTCTCTCCACCAAGTTTCACTTTAAATTCATTATAAAGCTGATCTGTTAAATTTGTTCTGATATTCGAGTCAGACAACAACAACTCGAAGAAAGAGGGTGTGTCAATTAAAGAAAGTGGGTGTGGTTGCAATACAAAATTTTAAAAGCTACTGAGCCAAACTGCGAGCATTTACATGCAGAAGCGAAAACTTCGTCTTTGTTTGCAGATGATACTAGTATATATTATTCACATTCTGATATCAAGCAACTTGAGGCAATCCTAAACAGTGAGCTTCAAAACCTTGATATCTGGATGAAATCAAACAAATTATCTGTAAATATAAGCAAATCAAATTATTTAATTTTTCCAGTGTTCAGCAAAGTACTCAAAATTTTTACTTAAGTAAAAGTGAAAAGTAACACCTCAATTTTTACTTAAGTAGAAGTAAAAGTACTGACTGAAAATTTTACTTAAGTAAAAGTAAAAGTATTGCCTGAAAATTTTACTTAAGTAAAAGAAAAGTACTGGAAAAATATACTTAAGTAAAAGTACTACTGAAATAGAATATAAATTCGCAAACCATTTGACTTGACAAATGGCAATTAAAATGCAAAAGTTAACGTAGGAATAGAACATTCAGACAAGTACCGTACAGTGCATACTTTATTCTTTAATCTGCACAGACTATACTGTGCCAACAAAAACTCAATATCAAAACTGTAATATCCCAATATATATATATATATATATATATATATATATATATATATATATATATATATATATATATTTTGTATATATAGGGTGGATAAAAAAAGTTGGCCTGTTTGATTTAGTATAACATATTACTGAATGCAAAAAAACTTTGTTGAAACCAAAGGTTTATACTAAATCAAAGAAGGTTTATACCTTTTTAGCCTCTCGGTATAACTTCTATTAACTCATGCAAAAGAACTGTTTACTTTGCAAATCAGTTGGTTCTCAAAGTTGGAATCATTAATTCTACTCCTACGAGGTAGAAAGATCTGTGATCTGCACTAAACAGCCTTTCACTGGCAGCACTTGATGGCATAGGAGTGTTTAATTCGAGAAATATGTCCTTCAGCTGGGACCACTGTAGAATTTCATTTGCAGACTGGGAAACTGGAAGACTTAGAAAATGCTGCAGCTGTTGCATTGGATCTGGGCCTTTTTGTTTAGACTTCCTCCCAAACAAATCTTCAAATTCATCAGGGCAGCTTCTTTCATTTTGGTCATCTGTGAGTGTGACTGTTGGGGCAGAAGTGCTGTCAATCTGGTTTTTTTATCATAATTTCCAAGTAATTGGTGCCTGAAATAGAGGAGAGAAATTTCTGAGAAATTCTAGGACATTTTTTTTCATTTTTCAATTTCCCAAAACTCACATGATACAGTAAAAACCTATATAGATGTATAGAACCAATTGTCCAATACATCTTAAAACACTAATTATTGCACAACTTACCAGCTTCAATCAGTTCATTGGGAATAAGCGAATCAGTCTTAAAATGTGGATGGATCAAACTTGCTGCAAGCAATTTGGGGTCCCTCATCATGGTGCCAAACCTCTTGTCTATACCAGCAATGAGGGCTTCAGCAAGAGGTTCACAGTAAGTCAACTTATCTTGGATATTAACCAATATTGATCTGAGTCCATACAAGGATGGAAGAAGGTAACCCATAAATCCTTTCTCCTCTGATTGCAGAAGGTCGAGTGTATGTGCAAAAGGTCTCATCACGTTCACATAGTCATCAAAAAACTCAAGCTCGTCAATCGTGAAATTGAAAATTAAAATTGTAAAAATTACAATAAAATATTAACCCGTTAAGCTGCAAGGTTCTAAATAATCACTTAACAAGTAAAAGTCAGACATTAGCAGCAAAATATTATACCAAAGTACCAAACACATTATACCAAACATTATACCAAAGTACCAAACACAAAATCTATACTTTAGACATACATAGAAAATATGATACCTGGGTAACTTAATCCGTTCACACAATAGTGCCAAAGCTCGAGGATCATCTTTGTTAATCTTTACTAGACGTTGAATTGCCATGTACCACGAGTTCCATCTTGTCTGGTTTGGCTTTACAAGAGCTTGCTTGCATATCTCGACAATAGCTTCGGCAGTTTGAACAGACCGAGAAGATTTGTTCCAAATTGCAGTTGCTTTAGCTGAGGATGAACGATGCAACTTTTTGAATTGTGAATCTAATTCTGCATCTTGTGCATCCTTGGTAGCAATGAGATTCAACGAGTGACAGGCACAGCGTTGGTGAGGGGGTAGTTGCACATTTGTTCCACGACCGTTGCTTCGTTGGTTCACAAGTGTTGCAGTAATGGAGACAGGTTGTATAAGGTCTTCATCAACGGTGTCATCTTCTTCGTCTTCATCTACTCTTCATCCACGGAACCAAACATACGAAATGCTTTAACAAAGTTGGAGGCGTTGTCAGTTGTGGTGGAGACAACCTTTTTCGCATTGCCAAATTTGATATGGATTGAGCTAAGAGCTCCAGCAAGAACATCGTAGGTATGTGAGCCCTGAAGATGTTCACACGACAATGCAGCCCAGAACCGTTTGATGGTATTTGGATCTATCCAGTGTGCAGTCACCCCAACAAACGACCTTCCTCTCATTGACCACCCATCAGTTGTAGTGGCAACATAACTGACATTCAAGATTGATTTTATGTTTTGGGAGATAGTCGTAGCCAAATCACCATACCTCCGTTTCAAAGTTGACTCGCTTATGACATTAAATTTAGGAGAGATAGCTTTTATTATTCGATTGAAGCTAGTCAACGAGACAAAGCGAAACGGTAACAGTCCGTCGATTGCAAAATCCAAAATCATATGATCAATGTCAGCTTGTGATAATGTCTTGTTATGGTTGCTAGCAGAAAGCATTTCTCGATTTTCTCCTATCTTCAGCTGTTTCCTTAATGGGTGGTCAGTTTCACACGATTGGGTCGGGCCATTTTTTCTCTTCGCAGAGCTTTGCATACCGGCTGTCAAAGACTTGTAAGTTTTGAGCTCGGAAGGGTGAATTCGCTACAAGATCGATTGGATATGATATTACTCAATACCTTTTATTATTTGCGAGGAAAGCTGGATACATAAATAACTTAATACTATTAAAGCCAATGATATTCCAATAATTGGACAAAGATAGAAACTTTAATACCTCAACATGCTTTTGCAGATTTGAGGGAGAGTTTAACGCAGACGATAAAACTTTTTGTAGAGGTAAAGAGAGAAGGCATTTTACACGCGCCGATTTACTTCCAACGTTGACAATCTCGAATATGGAGTAAAGGTATGACCAAGGATGAATAACTGCAGCATCAATATCAACCACGTCCACGGAATTAGACATAATATAATTTAATATGATTACATGATGCATATATGTCAGCGAAACAAACAGAAACCTTGAATGTGAAATTTGGGCGGAAGTAAACCGGAAGTAACAGCCCTGAGCCAAGCACATTCCCACAATCCCACCAAGTCCCACCCAATCCCACCAGTCCGTTTTAATAAGAAATACTTTTTTAAAATTTTTACTTCGCCAAAATATAGCAAAAGTAACGAAGTAAAAAAGTAAATATTTACCAAAAATCGTACTTCGTTACAAGTAAAAAGTACTTCATTAAAAAAATACTTCGTTACAAGTAAATACTGATTTTTTTTACTTAAGTAAAGTAACGAAGTAAATTTACTTCGTTACTGGCTAACACTGAATTTTTCATCCTGGTAAAAAAAGCTAAGTCTTAATTTAATTCTCAAATACGATAACCAAATTCTTGTTCAAAAATGGCATATAAAATTCTTAGGTGTATATTTAGATGAAAATCTGTCATGGAAAATCCACATAAATTATATTAGTAAGAAAATATCAAAATCTGTTGGAATAATCTATCGCTCGTGATTTCTCTTATCATCTGTTACAAAACTTTCCTTATATTATAGTTTAATATACCCTTATCTAACATATTGTAATATAGTCTGGTCTTCAACATATGAAACTAATGTGAAGAGAATCTATCTTTTGCAAAAGCGAGCTGTTAGAGCAATGACTAAGTCAGATTACCATGCTCATTCTGCTCTGCTTTTCAAAAAATTAAATATATTAGATATCTTCAAACTAAATACTCATTGTATAGGTATATTTATGTATATTTGGAACATTATGGAATAAGAGGAATTTGTCTTCAGTGGTTTAAAGATTATTTGCAGGAAAGAACTCAAATTGTAAAATATAAACAACATAGGTCAACTGATATGAATGTTACTACAGGAGTCCCACAGGGTTCAATTCTTGGTCCAATTCTTGGTCCAATTCTTGGTCCATTGCTATTTCTTTTATACATGAACAACATCGAAAGCTGTAGTGATATACTTTCGTTCATATTATATGCAGATGATGCGAATGCTTTCTATTCAAATTCGTGCTTGAAAACTTTGTATAATACAATGCAAAATGAAATGAATAAGGTTGTGAGATGGCTCAATGCCAATAAATTATCAATCAACGCTTCTAAGACAAAGTTTGTAATTTTTAAATAAAAAAAAGTCTTTACTGAATACAGATAATACAATCAAAATAAATAATGATTTGTTTAAGCAAGTGACGTTTGTAAAGTTTCTAGGAGTTATAATTGATGAAGAGTTGACATGGAAGAACCACATCAGCTCAATTCTGAAAACTATTATTAAATGTACAGGTCTGATCGCTAAACTAAGACATTATACAAATAGAAACACTTTAAAATTGATTTACTATGCATTAGCTTATCCATACCTCACATACGGGAATCTTGTTTGGGGAAATACATATCCCACAAGATTGCAAAAAATAATGAATGTACAAAAGAAAATTGTTCGATTAGTTTGTTTTAAATCTTATTCCGATCATTCTGAACCATTATTTTTGGACTTGAAAATCTTGAATGTCTACAAAATTAATGATTATGTAGTATATTTATGTATCGATTCTTTTATTATCAAAATAATTTGCCGGACTTTTATTGTGATTATTTTAAACAAAACAGTGAATTACACAACTATAATACACGTAATTCCACTAAGTTACACATGAACTTTCAAAGAACTAATTATCGTAAATATACTGTGTTTAACAAAGGCATCTCCATATGGAATGGTCTCAATGAAAATATGAAAAATATCAAATCGTATTTCCCTTTTAAGAAAAAAATAAAATCCTATTACTTACTATCTGTTTAATGCAAATACTGTAAAATAAAGTCAACTTTTATCTCCTTATTCTTTTAACTATTTTATGTAAAATACTGCCTTATTTGTCAAGATTTGTAATAGTTGTTAATTTGTAATTGATATTTCAAAACTAGGGACCTTATCTAAAAGTCCAACAGGATTTCCAAAGGTTCCTAGCCCCCATATACTATTGTAAATATTCTAAATTGCTTAATTTGTAAATACCTTTTGTGGGCAAAACAATACAAATATAAATATAATATAAATATATTTATAGCTGTGATTTATTACCTGAATGTTTTGACAACTTATTTATTTCGAGCAATCAAGTTCACAATCATAATACTAGAGCTGTGGCCAAATATAGGTCTCATGCATGTCGAACTAACATAAAACAATTCACTATCCTACATCAGGGTCCGAAAATATGGAATTGTCTTCCTTCATCAATAACGGGAATAAATATATCACTTCTTCTTTCAAAAGAAAATTGAAAAAATATTTGATTGAAAACAATTAGTGGATGTACAATTCGATAGGAGCTTCATTTATAAACAACAAAACAAAAAAAACAACATTTTTTGGAATAAAAACCCCCCAACTTTATTCTGAATAACAATGAGATGGCCTCTTAATACAAGTCTTTGACTTCCTGAGGTCGTCTCGCCACTTTCAATTTGACATACATAAATATAAATATATACCTAAATATTATTACAATAATCAATGTAAATAACTGAAAGAAGTGGTAAATAATTTTCAAAGCAAGAAAATGTAGTGCAGAGTTCTTGAATATCTGCGGGATTTGTGTCAACACCATGTGTTTGAAAAACATGCAACATGTTGTGCTTTAGTGCTCCTAGAGTATTCTGGAACATTACTTTCGAAGTGCACATAACATTTTCAATAGCCGAAAAAGGAACTGCTGCTGAACACTTCAGTCTCATGATCATTGAAAAGGCTAGTTTTTTCAGATTAGCAACACTAAATGTCTCCATATAATTAGATGCATCTTCATCAACAGGGTCATCATCCGAGCTGTTGCCACTTTCCATTTCCATGGGATCATTGTGGTGTGGTTGATGTTGTTCAATGCCGTGATGTTCTGCATGCAACTTTTGGTTTAAATGCTGATTTCTAATGTGACTTAAGAATGAGTTCATTATATTGAACGTTCTTTGGCATCCATTTTGCCTGCAGACAAGTTGTTCGTTGGGCCCTGTTATTGTATGGCATGAACGTAAATGGAGGGCCAGTTTCCTTGTTGCCCTTGTTGCATCTGGCACATGGATTCCTTTACCACATTTAAAACAAGTAACATCCATGTTGATTCACAGTTCGACTAGGAGTTTGTTTGTTTGCTTGCTTCCGTAATTTAAAACAATTGGTGCACATGTTATACAATTGCACTTTTCAGTTTTAAGATGGTATTGATAAATAGTTGATTAAATGTGTTTATAGTGTGATACTGTAGAACCTCTACTAAGCAGTGGTATTAAAAGAATATCTCTCTATTAAACAGTTGCGACATCCATTGAACAGCCACACAATTTTTATTGTCTTTGGAACATAATCATTGATTTATAGGGATTTATGTAGTAAATATAATATTTCTTAATTGAAAAACTTCTTCTAAAAAGACAAGTGTTACTGACTTTTAATCAACAAAGTTGGCCACCAAGGTCCATTTACGGGCACCTCTATTAAGCGAGCACAAATGCGATCTCTGAGAGTGGCCAGTAAAAAAATCCTACGAACTGTGAACTTGCAAATGTACCATACTGTATGTACTTTGCTAGCTGCATACCCACAATAGCAAGTTAAAGTTTACTGAATTGCTTTCAATGATAATTACCGCTTCATTCAGATCAAAGATGATCTGAATTTGATCTGAATTTTAGGATTAACAGAAGAGATGGACTGAAAACGCATGCTATAACACTATAATTACTGACGGTCATAATAACCTATTGTTTTCTCTCTGCATTATATCAGCGAATGTCGAGAAGTTTTAGCGTTCTTCTGAAAAACGGGAGCAGTCTTTTTTGATTGTAGGGAAATTCCCAGGGGTAAATGTTTATACGGGCTAAAATAGCACACAGCATTATTAAAAATAATGCAGCGTGCACACAGCATTATTAAAAATAATGCAGCGTGTATCAGTGCACACAGACATTATTCGCAATCCTTCGTCATCCTGACAAGTACACGCGATAACGTGAACATCTCAAGTTGACAGTGCTAAAGGCCCCTCATACAATATCATCGGGTGCCTGAAGCACTGCCAAAACGGTCGCTGTGAGTCCTTTCGACTCAACTTTATAGAGAAATAGTTTCGTTTGCGCTTGTGGGATTTTATCCTAGATATACGCATGTGCAGAAGACACCATAAGTTCTATTCCCGTGTTTATCCAGTTTAATACGCTCTTTGAATTAACCTTATCACTAATGATAATATGTAAACTAGAACACTATAATTGACCTCCGCTTGTGGAGATTTTAATTTAGGGCGATTAATTAAACTGAAATCTGTTCTATCACGATGCATTACATGCATGTCCTCACAAATGTCTAGTGTAACGTTGGATAGATTCATTGTCATATGGTCCCAACAAGCAGCAACGTAGTCTTCCAGCCGAAAATAATTACTTTTGATTCGGGTCAGTAATTATAATAGATAATTACTTCGACCAAACGGCATTATTCGATATATTGCAGCCAGCTTCGGCCTTCGGCCTCAGCTGGCTGCAATATATCGAATAATGCCGTTGGCCTCAGTAATTATCTATTAAGTAAGGTGTAAATTGCTGATGCAATGCTGATCCATATAGGCTTTTTGCATGCATGTCTTGCATTAGTGAGCAAAATCGACTGGTCAGACGTTAGGCAAAGTAAAATAATCATGCTTAGACATAGCAAAACAAGTGGCCGTAAGGCCACGCCTGGCTAGAGTGTACGGGCGCAACCCATACTTTTAGGAAAAACATTTCTGAAAATCTATGAAATCTGTAGTCTGGAAAAGCCATTTCCTGCCTTTTCCGAGCTTTCAAATTTGTTCTAAGATTTGTTTTTTAGGCTACAGTGCACAATACAAAGTTTTTACTTTCTGAAAAAAATGGCAGTCACAGAAAAACTTGTGTCCAGGCCCATCATCCTATGAGCGCTCTGGAACATCCCGCATATACTCTATAATGTATACAATTAATTAGCTAAACCTTGATACTTGACAAGCCCGACCGTAAAATTTTAGGAAATTCATTAAAGCGATGAAGCTAAGCCTATTTGCCTATGTATTTCCACCATTTTCATTCCCGACAAGTAGTATTGGTGGAATTACATTCAAAAAGGTTTGGTTACAGGAAACAGGACTGCTAATACATTCTCTTGAACTAAACTACTCTTCATTTCGTACCAGTATCTTCCAAAAAGGAGATTTACACTGGGGGTGCCAAAATAAGGGGAAGGGGCTTAAGGTGGCTTAAGGGGCTTAAGGTGCTTAAGGGGCTTTGGTGGCCAAGTGGTTAGCGCACTTGCCTTTCACCTCTGAGGCTGCAGGTTCGAGTCTCACTAAGTACCTTCTCAGTGCGACTCGAACCCAGTAAAAGTCAACGCTCTGCCGAAAGCCGTGGGTTATCCCCGGGCACTCCGGTTTCCTCCCACAGGGAAAGTTGACAGGGTGGGTTAGGTAAAAAAGGGCCCACAGTAATTGGCATATGCTGTTGTGGTGACCCTGCCCTAGTTGGCAAAGCTAAATAAATAAAAATAGTTAACTGGTGTGGCCAACACAGGGGCAAGGTTGCCTTGTCCCCCCCAGTCTACAGTATATGTTAAAAAAGCCCTGAATGGTGCACTCCGCTAAACTGCAATCTGACCATTATATAACATGCAAGCTATAGTCTTAACTGACCCGGCCACACTAGGCAATGGGACAACAAGAGGATGAGGGACATTATCCAGTGCCACATTCATTTGATAGTGACAATTAATTAAAGCATTGGTTGTAGAGAACTAACATTAATATTGACAAGTGATGTATTAAATATATAGGAGTAAATGTGCACAATCATCTATACTTACATTCCTTGGATTCATGTAATATTCTCAATAACACATGTACCATCAGGTTCTGGTTTATTAATTTACTCTCACTGGCTAACACCACATAATTTACTGATCAATGGAAAATAGTTTTATTTTAATGGGTCAACCTAACTATCAATCTGCCAAGGTCTATTGTTAGTAATTTCACTGCAAAATCAAATAATATACTTGGTCACACTTTTTGTGTACACAGCAGAAGAAAACTGAAATGGACAAGTAACGGTAACAAGTTTTGAATACCATAAACATCTTCCTTTGGACCCCCTTACAACCTTTCTGTTCAAGGTCAACATGGTGCACATCCCTGTCCAATAGCCTGTGTACAGCTGTTACTATTGACAAAGCGTGCGGGAGAACGTCTGTGAGTTGGATGCATAATCCTTGTTCAGGTCATGTGGATAGTTCCCAGATTTGGGGACCGGCCTCTGATTGGGCAGTGCTTTATTTGAATAATACATGACAAATGAAGCTATTTCATTGGTTAATTGATAATTAGCATGCATTTAAAATAACAACACAAAAATTTTAAAATTCCAGATCAAGAATCAAGATTTCCTTTGGGGCATACAAAAGTTTGAAAGACTTGAAATACAATCTGAAAAACGATACACCAGAAATATATTGCATATATTTCTCGATGAAGAGATTTGTTTTGAGTGCGAACAATGTTGAACCATGATAATTGCCGGCAAGTCCAGTGTACAAGCTCAGTTCTTGGTGTACATATATAAGGCGTATATTTTTTTACAAATTTCCGTCCTATAGTTTGTTGTATTTTATATATTTGTCAGCATTGTTCGCTGAGTGTCCAAACACTAGAATTGTATCTTGATTTTCTTAAACTTTGAATTTTAAAATTTTAAAATTTTTGTGTTGTTATTTTAAATGCATGCTAATTACCAATTAACCAATTAAATAGCTTCTTTTGTCACAAATTATTCAAATGAAGCACTGTCCAATCAGAGGCCGGTCCCCAAATCTGGGAACTATCCATGCGACCTGAACAAGGATTATGTATCCAACTCACAGACGTTCTCTCACACGCTTCGTCGAGAGTAACAGCTGTACACAGGCTACTGTCCAACCCTGGGTATTAATTATGACTGAGTTAAGCTACCTAATATAGATATGTTGGATCTAGGATAGGATAAGATAAGATAAGGTGTGTTTAATAACAACATTATTCACGCTAAAGTATAGCGAATTACAAATGTGTTTACAGACTAGAAGTTAAAAATAAATTTACAAATGTTTCAGGACTTTAAAAAAAGCTCATGCACTGGGACTGGTTTACAATTATTGATGAAAAACCCCATTAACTAGATTATATAGACAATTTAATGGTACTAGGAATAAAACTTCTAGGGAGTCTTTCAGTTTGACAACAAGTCTTGAGTCTGGTCTTGAGCAGGGAGACCACCACGACGCAATACTCGTAATATATGCAGACGTTTTGAGGCCTTAGAAACAATAGCATTTATTTGTTCATTCCATTTCAGGTTGTTTTGTATAATCACACCGAGCACTTTATGGGACGTAACAACTTCCAGTTCTTTTCCATCAAGCTGCAACGGTTGTAAATGTGGTTTCTCTGTAAGGAAACATACTCGTAGTTCCTTGCACTTTTTTACGTTAAGTTTCATCCAGTTAGACAAAGACCAGGAATTAATATCATCAAGGCAAGATTGAAAATTGGAAATGGCATTTCTAGAAAGCTCCTCAGATGCAGATACATCGTCCATATATTTCCAAGACATAACCTTCTGCGAAGGAATTCTTAAATCGTTTATCATTATCAGAAACAAAATTGGTCCTAACTTTGTTACTTGTGGGTCTCCCGCATTAACAGGCAACCACCGCGATATTGTTCGTTCTAGTTTTACACACTGGCGACGATTTGATAGAAAGTTAATAATCCAGGGGATTAGAGATCGCCTGACTCCTATATTTATCAGCTTTGTGATCAAGACATTGTGACCAATACGATCAAAGGCTTTGGAAAAGTCCAGAGAACAGATATGGAGGTGATTTCCCGGAGAGTCAAATGGGAGAGCCAAGTATGTACCATGTCTAAAAGACAGTATGTGGTCGACGTTCCTTTAAGGCAGCCAAATTGTTTTGGGTCAATTTTCCCTTTAACATCATCCACCATCCATGAGACTACAAAATCTTCTAAAGTTTTTGCCAAACATGATGTTAAAGATATGGGTCTTGTGTCTCATTC